CACCTGTATGATCAAAGGCCAAGACAGTAAGCCTTACAAGAAGAGGCTGAGGGACATGGAACACTTCAGCCTGCAGAAGAGAAGGCTCTGGGGTGACTTGGTGGCAACCTACAAGTTTATAAGGCAGGTTCATCATGGCCCACCAAGAGATAAGAAGGTCTAACGGCCACAAACTCCTGGAAGGCTGGTTTAGACAAGATATAAGGAAAACCTTCTTTACAGTTTGAGTGTCCAGGGTCTGGAACAGACTCCCCCCAGAGGTGGTGCAAGCACCTACTCTGGATTCATTCAAAAGGCATTTGGATGTTCATCTTGCTGGGATCATTTGACCTCAGCAGACTTCCTGCCTATGGCAGGGGAGGCTGGACTTAATGATCTTCTGAGGTCCTTTTCAGCCCCTAATGTCTATGAAATCTATGAAAATCCCATTGAAAAGGATTGGGGAAAAACAAAGATTTCCTCAACTCCAAAGCTATTTACCCATTACTGTATTTAGGAGCAGGGAAAAACAACTATGACACACCCTCAACCAGAGCAAACAGCATGCAGCCAGGTTGCACACTGTCCAATGAGCTTTTAAAAGCTGAGTCCAGCCTCAAACTGGGGGAGGTAACAGTCACTGGCCACGTCTACGTGAGACACTGACTGCGCAGTAACTCATTACTACTGAGCAGTAGCATTGCATGGCAAAAATTGTGATGGACTAACCCAGCAGAACCGTGATGGGCTAAGTCAGTTTAGTACTTATATCCTACTTGTTTACTGTTCATAAATGCTTGCGCAGATTTTTTTCATACCACATACGTACATCCTCAAAAGCTAGAAAGCTCAACTGCCTTTTTCAGTGTCCCCTTATCCCATTCTGCACAGAATCATAAATGTCTTGTTCATGTCTTGCAATTAGTACAGTAGTCTTATAGATTCATAGATTCATAGATTTAGGGTCGGAAGGGACCTAGTAGATCTTCTAGCCCGACCCCCTGCCAGGGCGGGAGAACAATAAAACCCCAACACAAAAACGGGACTCAAATGAGTCCAGCCAGGTAGGCATCCAGCCTCTTCTTAAAGACCCCCAGGGTAGGGGCCAGCACCACTTCCCTTGGAAGTTGGTTCCAGCTCCTAGCCGCCCTAACTGTGAAGTAGTTTTTGCGGATGTCCAATCTATACCTCCTCTCCATCAACTTGTGCCCATTACTCCTTGTTATGCCAGCGGGCGCTAGGGGAAACAGCGTCTCCCCCAAACCCTTCTGGTCCCCCCTAGTGAGTTTATAGACGGTCACCAGGTCCCCCCTCAGCCTTCTCTTGTGGAGGCTGAATAGGTTCAGGTCCCGCAGTCTCTCACTGTAGGGTCTGCCCTGTTGTCCCCGGATCATGCGGGTGGCCCTCCTCTGGACCCTCTCCATGTTGTCCACATCCCTCTTGAAATGGGGCGCACAGAACTGGACACAATACTCCAGCTGTGGCCTGACCAGTGTCGCGTAGAGGGGGAGGATCACCTCCTTGGCTCTACTCGAGATGCACCTGTCTCTTCTATTCAACAGACCAGTTTCCACTCAACATATTCCAAAGTACATCAAAACCTATATAACTCTTTTGTTATGCAAACCATAACACAAAATACATTGATAAAGTACCCTAGAAGCATTACAATTTTGGTGCTAACTGCCTTCTAGGAATAGGGTTCATGGCTACACAACATACATACAAAGAATCAATAATATAACATAAATTTGATTTTTTTTTTTATGTTTACCAAGTTAATACACAGGTTAATGGACGAATAATTAAATTGTGGTTCCTTTTTCTTCAAAACTATAGAACCTTTGCAAACCGGAGCTAACAAGTGGCTCCTCATCTTTGTTAAAAGCATACAAGCAAGAGAAGCATTAAATTAATAATTCAGGAAAGGCTGTTCTTCATCTCCACTGTCAAAACTTAATTAAAAGGCAGTTAAATATGTACTAAATATGTTCCTATGTTACTTTTCCATGCAGTTCTCAGTATGAAATATTTGAAAAATTCTATAATAGAGCATTTACCATGGGACAAATTTCTAATCTATACATTAAATTTTTGCTCACCTCTGCCCACTGTTGAACATTTAATCACAAAGACAGCTCCATGGTTAGGGTAAAAAAATGAGTTCCTGTACAGCATCACTGAGGCAAATGTACATTTATTTTTAAAGTAAAAGAAAATCTACCTGTTTAAGACCTCTCTCTCATTTCTTTTATTTAGAATAGAAAAAAAAGAGACAAGATGGATCTGCAGGAAAAATTCTGCTATCCTCCATCCAAAATTTAACAGGTGACTGCATTTTGTTACAACAGATACCAATTTTGATTTATATTTATCAAACATATATTTACTGATCTACTAAACCATATTTTTAAAACAGCTAAAATTTATAAACAGGTCATAGAATGCTATGCTTTACACTCACCTGCAAAAAATATAACCTTACATAATATGTTTTTGTTGCACTGTTTGAACAATAATGATCTTTAAGAAACTCAGTGCAACCCTGGCCCCTCCCCTGCTGTCTGCCTGGAGGTGCTGCCAGGCCAGGCCTTTGTAGACCTCAATGCAGCTGTTCGCAGCGTTTCTGTTGCCTGCTGTGAGCAGCCCTGGCTCCATGGCAGGTGGCAGAGGCCTGCCCAGAGCCCAGACTGGTGGTGGCAGGCAGCTAGCAGGCTGCAAGCCACTGCACCAAGGTCTGCAGAGCCCCTACCTGGTTTGGTGCTGGTTGGTGGGTACATGTACTCTTGGGCAGATGGCAGGGAAAAAGCCGGGGTTGTGCTCCCCCGGCCTCTTCCCTGCTGTGCCCCAAGGCACGTATGCAGCTGCCACCAGCCATGGAGCTGGGCTGGGGCTCCAGACCTCGATGTAGCTGTGTGCAGTCTGTCCAGCACCTGCTGCGAGCAACCCAGGCTCTGCGGCCTGGAGGTGCACAGCAGGGAAGGGGCCAGAGCAGCACAACCCTGGCTTCTCTTCCACTGTCTGCTCAGGGGCACATATATACCCAGTCAGCAACAAGGATCAGGCCCCTTACAGCTCCACTGTCATCTGCCCCTGGCACGCTAAGTTGATACATGGATTGAAGTTGGGGTGTTTTTGGCACTCTGGCCAAAAACGTTGCCAGCCCTTGCTTTAACAGCGGTCTCCAACATTTTTTAAGTAGATCATCTTTGGCATTTAAAAGCAATCCAAGATTTACTGTGTGCCGCCGCCACCCCACCACCCTCCCAAGCAGGTAAGTCTGTGGGGAAGGAAGGGGGTGGGGGGCATAGATCGAGGCAGAGGGAGAAAAAATTATTTGGGGGCACACCTTCCCAGCAGGCAAGACCCACCCAGCCAGGGCCCCACTCAGCCTACCCCCTGCTCCTGCCTCTGCAGCACTGTCCCTCACCATGGGGGCCTCAATCTAATCCCCGCCCCTTCCCTCCCCCAGAGTGACCTGCTGGGCTGAGGCATGTGCGTACATGCACACAGGCACTCACCTCCCATCCCAGCCTCGGATCAACTCCAAGAGGCTCCAGGATCTACCACAAGAGGCTCCAAGATCTACCGGTGGATCAAGATCCACTGGTTGGTGACCACTACTTTAACACTTAACCCAAGGTTCACCAGTATTTTATGTACAAGTAGAAAATTTCTACTAGCATGCATATTGAAGCAAAAGCCATTTTTAAAGCTATTTCTTTTTAAAGGCTCTGTTTTTTACACTTAAACAAGAAGAGCTGACAGAGATAATGAAAATCACTAAATAAGATAGCAGTGAATTAAATGTTTCCTACCACAGGGGACGCAAGAAAAATGTTCCAGAGAAGCCATCTTCAATTAATGTTTCTCAAAGCTTTTTGAAAATGTTGCTCAATCTGTTTTACTGAGGGACAGCACAGGTAGAAACAAAGTAAGCACCCCAAAACATGAGTGGAACGTCTCCTTTGAGTTTAATAACCATAGAGTATAATTTCATAAAGAAATTATGGTTAGAGTCTGGTCCAAAAAATGACATGTTTATATGGATCCCTACACATGTAGTGTCCTGTTGACTTTACATTAGTTCTGCATGGGTTAAGGGTCCAAACTACTGCATCTGTTTAAAACCTGTGAGAAAACATGTTTGCAAAAATCTAGTTGGTCTAATAAAAGATATCACCTCTACCACAAGTCCTGATTCCTTTTGCCTCTATTGAGACCAATACAGCTTACAACCTGGATACCCGAGAAAACACTGTAACTTTTAAATGCAGCTGAAAGCTACTTATGTTCATCACAAATGACCATTTATAGTTTCATAGATTTCATAAACATTAGGGCTGGGACCTCAGGAGACCATTGAGTCCAGCCCCCTGCCCAAGGGGCAGGAAATCAGCTGGGGTCACAGGATCCCAGCAAGATAAACATCCAAATGTCTCTTAAAGGAGTCCAGGGTAGGTGCTTGCACCACCCCTGGTGGCAGTCTGTTCGAGGCCTTGGGGGCTTGGACAGTAAAGAAGTTCTTCCTTATGTCCAGCCTGAAACAGTCTTGGAGGAGTTTGTGACCATTTGACCTTGTCATCCCTTGGGGCGCACTGGTGAACAGGTGTTCCCCCAGATCCTGATGTACACCCCATATATACTTATAGGCATCCACTGGGTCCCCCCTGAGCCTGCGCTTTTCCAAGCTGGAGTCCCATAGCTCACAGCCAGTCATCATAAGGCCTGTTCTCCTGCCCTCTGGATCATGCGCGTGACTCCTCTGGACTCTGCTGAAGCATTTTAAGTTCAGTGTTTTAGATTCAGATTGAACTGCAAAAAAATTTTGAATGGAACAAAGAAATAAATGTTGGGGTTTTGCTTTGTAGGGGCTTTCAGCCAGCTGGTGCCAAGATGTTGTTTTGCCAAACCATTGTGGAAGTTAAGTGGTTTGCGAGCTTTGAGTAAGCTCCCTTCCCTACAGTGCACTTCACATTAATTGCTATGGGGAAGAAAGCAGCATACAATCCAGTAACAGGTTTTGCATTTTTTAAAAAGACCTTTATTACAAAGATTGCTAGAAACAAAAATAAGTGGAAACACTGTTATCACTGACCCTAAGGTGTTTGTGTGACTGAGTGGGAAGGAGGCAGATAAAGAGGGGAGGACTGGGTGTGAAAGAAAATTCCACATAATTCAGATGCAGTTATCTGCCACAGCCAAAAGTTTGGTTCCAGTTCTCATACAATTCCAGATCCTTTGAGGACACGCTGGGTCGCACAGTTTTGAAAGCACTATCAAAATCAAGAAACACAATCGGCCGTACTTGTTCAGGTGTGATGGTTGCAATGTCCATAGACTGAAGACTGCGGATTGGACCTAGAGAGGCTTCTCGACAGAGCTGAGTCATGTCTGCTCCAGAAAACCCATCAGACTTTTTAACTATGAGCTCAATTTCCTCTTCACTTAGACTGCAGTGCTCCTTTGACATTAGGCAAGTTACAATCTGCTTCCTAGCTGAAGCTTCTGGAAGAGGGATGTAGAGTCTCTTTACTAGTCTTCTACGGGCAGCCTCGTCAATTTCCTGGGGGCGATTTGTCGCTCCCACCACTAGAATGCGGTCTTCAGAGGAAGTTGCAGCTCCATCTAACTGAACTAAAAATTCAGTTTTTATTCTTCTAGAAGATTCGTGCTCCCCATCTCCACGCTGGGACAAAAGAGAATCAATTTCATCAATGAAAATCACAGCCGGTTGCTGACATCGTGCCACAGTAAAGAGGGCACGAACCATCTTTTCTCCCTCACCCACCCACTTGGAGGTCAGGGAAGAGGCACTGATGCTGAAAAAAGTAGCTCCAGACTGACATGCAATGCACTTGCCTATAAGAGTCTTGCCTGTCCCAGGGGGTCCAAAGAGCAGTATTCCTTTAGGAGGACCCCGTAACCCTGTAAAGATGTCTGGTCTCAGCATAGGCCATACCACTATCTCCTTTATGGTGGCTTTTGCAAATTCCACTCCAGCAATGTCATCCCAGTTTACTGGAGGCCCGTGATCCATGATCTCATTCATGATAAGTTCAATCATTTTTGGTTCTATGTTCTTTAAGTGTTCATCCACAAGGAATGAGGGCTCTACTGGTCCACTCCCATAAGGTCTGCCCTGTGCCCCTCCATTTTCATTCCCATCTTGTTTCGGTACTGGAGGAACAAACTTTCCAAATGGACCCCGAGGCCTTCTAGCACCCAAAGATTTTTTTAAACCACCATAAGATGAGACTGGTGTACGCTGAGGCTTGCTTTGATATTTCTTTTGCTGATCTTCCCATAGCTGTTCTTTTGCTGTTTTAAAACCTGCTATATTTCTCTCTTCATTTTTATTTCCACTCCCATGAAAGTTCCTGGCTTCTGTATTACTGGTGAGTTTGCATGGAGCAAGGTTGGAAGGCATACTGCTGCTTGCATCACTGGAGCTATAAAATGCTTTCCTTTTCCCTAGTTTTCCAAACTCAGCAGAAAGGGAAGACTGATTCAAAAAAGATGAGTTCTGTCCACCCCCAAAGTGACCTTGGGCTTTCAACAAACCACTGCTTGCTGCTTCCTTATTTCCAAATAGTGGAGTTGTGCGGAAACCTGTATCCAACTGATGATTTAAACAGGCAGAGGAAGTTGAAGGCATATCTGTAGTACTGGTCGCAGGTGGCATACTGCTTTGAAGACATTTCAAAGATGGGGGGCACTCAAGGATATCTGCTCCCTGGCTTATAAATTTTGAAGAGCTAGCACAGAGGTCAGTCTCTCTAGCATTGCTGCACACGGTGAGTTTAGGAAGACCTGGAGTACCAGAGGCACTGACCTCTTTATCAACTACTACCATGGCATCTGCTGGTGCCATCAGAGAGCTTTGGAACTTTTTGCCAGCCTGCATCATCTTCTGCACACTCTTTAATTCAAACACATTACTTGTTGTCAGGGCAGATTGCCACTTGTCACTGTTGTTCTGCTGACTTCTTGCCAAAGTCAAAATGTTCTCAGCATAGTTATTCAAGCCAGTTTCCCCATTGTCAGAGTCAATAATTGCAGAGTATTTCTCTGCATATTTTTTGAACAGGTTGGCAGCACAGACCTGGGAAATCTCAGAGTTTGTCCATGCATACTGAATGCGCAGAATCTGGGCCCGGTATCCATCTGCCTTCTGTCCCGGTGTACAGGTGCCAGAGGTGATAGCAAAGTAATTCTTCTGCCATTCACTCAGGTGGACAGCACTAGAGTCAGGTATTTCCATGATCTATGTTGAAATTAACAAAAAAGTTTAATCAGTTATTTAACTACATTTTTGCTACTTCCTCCTCCTAAGTTCAATAACTGCAATTAAATTTAGAAGGATAATGGAAATAATACTGTATTTCAGTTAGGTAGGCTGCACTCGATTTCATTTCTCCAAAATACCATATTTATGGCAGAAAAAACCATAGGATTTTGGTTCCTCCTTGTACTAAAAAGAAAGCCTGCTACTTTATAACAGCCTGCCTTGGGATGGGGGTTGAGATTAAAAGAGAACAGATGGCCCAGCAAGGTGAATTAGGCAAAGCAAGTCAGCACCGGTCAACTCGCCTCTACCAAAGAGAAGGCTACACAGCTCAGCTGAAGATAGACTACAGGCAGCTGTCAAAACGAAGAAATCTTTTACAACTGCACTGACAGGAATGTAAAAAATATACATTTGTGAAAGGAGATTTGGATGCATAGGGCTCAATTTAGTACATTTTTTTAAATGAAGAAAAAATGCTGTTCATTGGCAAATCCCAGAGTTAAAGTTTCAAATGGTTTCAGACTTTCAGTAATCTTCCAAAAATTAACTTTTACAAGGATTGAAAAAAAACTCATGCTTGAAATTAGCTTAAATCACGTTAACTATTTTCCCCCATTGACTGAAATCCTTTACAGAGGAGCAACAAACACAGCTGAAATAGCAATGAGAAATTTTGACCTAAGAGGTGGCTTTCTTAATGCTGTGTTTTTATTTATTAATGATGTCCAAGTTTTCGTTTTCTTTCCAGTGTTCCTAAAATTTGTGAGCAGGTCAAATGCTAGCAAAATCTTAAATGTAAGATTTCAAGAAGAGGTATGTAGGCGGACAGTATGCATGCATCCCAGCAGGTGTGTGGGCATGCATGTGGGATTTGGTGAATTCACAATGAACCCAAAACGATTGAAAGACTGCTAAGCACAAGCAATTGTGTCTTTTCAGTTTTGCCTAGAGACTAGGTTTACTTCAGCATACAAGTTTCCAGTTCACCAGGCACAAAGTCTCTGGACTTAAGGAGCAATGGCCCCTTCAAAAGATGAAGGTATTTGAAACAAGGATTGTGGAACTGATTCCCATTATGTTCCTGTTTACTGCTATTTGGCTTGGTCTGTTCCCCATCTCCTGAGTCAATTACCATTTGTGTCCATGTATCTAGGAGATGTGTGCATGTGGGGAGGATGCAAGAGTAGGGATTTTTGCTAACTCAGCTCCTAGAGCTAGCAATGGTCTCACTGGGCACGTCCACATGAGAAGCCGACTGAGCAGTTGTGTATGTAAGTACTAAGTGACCGCGCAATAACAAGTACTAAATGAATGCGCAGTAACCAGAGATAATGCAGAGTAGCATCAGCAATCGGCAAGTAGCTTATTACTATTGTGCCATAGCGTTGCATCATGCTGTGCGCCACATGACACTATTGCGCAGTAGTAACTTGCTACTGCGTGGTCCGTGTCTCATGTAGACATGGCCATTGAGGGTGTAATGGAAAGGCGAAGACATGGCCATTGAGGGTGTAATGGAAAGGCGAGAGAGGAAAAGGGGGCAGGGAATCAGAAAGGTATCACTGACCGTCTGCTGTGCCTGGCAGAAATTGCACTGCCCATGGCACTAAACAACACACAAGTGACCCAAGCGCAAGCACCACGGCTCTAACTCACCCAGTGGATGAGGCAGCAGAGGCTGGCAGGTTATCAGGATTCATCAAGGTCGGGGCTGCCCTAAATGCCTGGCCTGGGAGATGGCAACTTGGCCCTACTTAAACTAACGCACTGGCCAGGCGGGCGCTGCAGAGGGAAGGCCACGCGGGTCCACGGGCGGGAAGCGGCAGCGGTTTAACAGCAGAAGGGCGATGCCGTAGCTGTGAAGGCCGATGCCACCGCCGCGACGGCCCAGTAGCGATGGGAGAGGCTAACGGCAGCTGGGGGTGGAGGCAGGTACAGGACTGACGGCGCGGCTTTTCACACAGGGAAGGGTCGGACTGCGGCTCTGGGCGGGCCGGGGCCGGGATCGGGGTC